GAAGTAACAGTATGAGTACTTAATCCATTCATTGGTTAAGAATAACTTTTAAAATGCCTCCACCTATCTTTAATTGAATTCAGTTATGCCATTTATCAGGTTCCTTAGATGATCTTCATTAAGATACTGGTTAGATCCCGATCATCTGAGGCTTCAGCAAAATCCCCAGACTCTGTTTTTGATTCCCAGGGTCCCCAAACTGGGAACAATGAGAAACGCTGCCATGATAGATGTGACCAGTCATGGGATACTCTGCAAAACAAACTGGTGAAGTGAAAACAAAAGCAGCTTTTCTAAGATGGGGGTTGAGCTTTAAAAAACACTACAGGCTTTTCAATCCAACCTTATCTGAGTGCCTCCCATCTGGTCCTCTTTATTGTGAAAATTTGTTGGTACCATTGGTTTTTATGGTTTTGATTTGTCATTGCTGTTTCTGTTCCATTTTAGTGTCCATAGTTTGTTTGTCCTGATTTGTAATTGTCTGTAAGCTGCCCAGAATAGTGCCTTGGGACTAATGGGGTGGTATTTAAAATAAATATAAATAAAACCATGAAAAAAGGAACCTTCCAAAGTTCCTCTCCACTGCATTTAGCTCTGCAATTTTGCTGAGAACAGCAAGTACAGTATTTCAAGATTCTGTTTAGACTCTAAATTGAACTGGGCAGAACTGGAATATTTAGCAGAGTCTCACTAACAGCAAACACATAGTAAAAGACAACCAACACACCTGGGACTAGTTTTCTGAAGTGTGTAGCAATTTTTTTAATTTATTTTTTTTATATCCCGCCTATCTAATCAATTAAGATTACTCTAGGCTGCTAGCAATCACATTTCTCTGTTTCTCATCCCCAAAGTAGGCAAAAGTATCATAGTTTATTCCCCAAATCTGAATCCCAGTCTCTCTGGTCCTGGTCCTGCTTTGACTGCAACACCAAACAAAAGACTGTGGATTTCTTTATTGAGTCAATCTGTCTCATGTGCAGTCTTCCTCTTTTCCTACTGCATTGCACTTTTTCCTGCATTGCTGCCTTTTCCAGTGAGCTTGTCTTCTCATGATGCCACTGTAATACAATACCCTTTGCTTGGTTATTTTAGCTTCTAGTGAGAATTCATGCTTAATTTGCTTTACTTGTCTTTCTGACAATTCGTGATATCTGTAAATCTCTTTTCCACCACTACATTTCAAATAAGTGAAATGTGTGTACAGTGGTGCCTCGCAAGACAAAAAAATTCGTTCTGCGAGTCCTGTCATATTGTGAAATTTTTGTCTTGTGAGGCACGTTTCTGAAAAGGTCACCAGGTAGGGAGCTGGGGAAGCACCATCGGAGGACTGGCAGGGGTCCCCCGCAACTGCAATCGCTGCTTTCACAGGTCCCCCGCCAGTCCGCAACCACGATCACCAGCTTCAGAAGCCTCTGAAGAATTCCCCGGCACCATTTTTCAATTTCACACCGTTTTCCCCTGCCTTTTTCCGTTCGGAGGCTTGCCGAGCACCATCGGAGGCAAGCCTCCAAACGGAAAAAGGGTGGGAAATTCAAAAATGGTGCTGGGGAAGTCTTCAGAGGTTTGCCCAGCACCATCAGCGGACTGCCGGGGGACCTCTGAAAGCAGCGATCACGGTTGCGGGGGACCTCTGCCAGCCTTCCGGTGGCGCAGGGGAAGGCTTTGGAGGCTTGCCCAGCACCATTGGAGGACTGCCAGGGGACCTCTGAAAGTGGTGAGGCTTTTCCGTTGCCACCAGAGGATATGTTCCTCACTGTACCAAATATGACAAATAGATCAGTGTTATCCAATATAACAAAGTTTATTTATAAGTTTGTAGGTAAATCATATAAAGATAATCATGGACGGTCTTTTATTATTCATTCAATAAACGTTGCTTTGATTACATTTATGTTTGCTTATGTAGATTCACTTTTATCAAGGTATTTATATATTCAACTACAGTGGTGCCTCGCACAACGGGTGCCTCGTAGAGCGATGAATTCACTCTACGAGGCCGGTTTTGCAATCGCAAATGCGACCGCACAACGGTGCCTGCACAGGGCGAAAATCACAGAGCAAAGGTCAGTAAGCAGTTCGCTTACCGACCTTCGCGTTGCGACCCACCAATCAGCTGTTTGGCGGCCACAAAATGGCCGCCGGAATCCCCAAAATGGCCACGCGCAACGTTTTCGTGCCCTCGTAAAGCGAGGGGAGGGCGCGAAAATGGCTGCCGGCCATCCTGAAGCATCGCTGAACGGTGAGTATTCGGCCCTATTGGAACGCATTAAACCATGTTTAATACGTTCCAATGGGTTTTTACGTTCCGTTCAACGATGCTTTCACACAGCGAGGGTTTATTTATTTATTTCTTAGCACTTTTAACTCTTTCCAATCTTAACCACATAAACTTTCCAAGACTTGTCCTATTCCTGTCCCTTTATCTATTACTCTTCTCTCTAACACAACCATAGCCCTAACTGCCTAACTCCTCACTAGTTCTAACTGATTATAACTGTCTTTCTGTTCTTTTATTATCCTGGTTCCGCCGCCCTGTACTGTCATTGGTTATCACATCAGTGTTCTACTGTGATGAACAGGCTAGGTATTTAGACTGTCCCTCACAGAGTAGAATCCAAAAGTGTTAGTAGACAACCAGAAAAACAGATTTAAGCTTTTAAAATAAATTACTCTCAGGCAGGGATTACAGTTGCGACTAACGTTTTTGTGCTGCTTATACAGAGTTTGTATACTCACCGTATCCTGCTTTCCTTACCCTAATTTTGTATTTTATATTTACTTTACCTGGTTTACTTGTATATTCTTGTCCCTTATCTGGAAGAACTGGCTGGACACTTTAGTGGTTTAGCTATCTGAACACGGAGCCACAGATTGATTGGGAGTTCGATTCCCTGCTCTGGCTCTTGTGAATAGCGGCAGCCCCGGGCAAGCTGCAAGGTCCCAGGGCGCCCCCAGAAGAAGGGAATGGTCAAGCCTTTCTGAATACTGTATTCTGCACCTAGAAAAACCCTGACTCAGGGTCCCCATGACTCAGAACTGACGTGACGGCACATCATTATTGTCGCTGTTGTCGTTATCTTGAAGTGGACGCTTTGGCCTTGAAAGGCGGTATGTAAAGATCTAAAGCAGATGAAAGGCGTCTAACGGCTTTCGGAGGCCTCACGGCAGTCTTTTGCTGGGAGGCAGAGGAGCCAAACAAACCCACGGACCACGATCCCTGCACCTCTTCCCAGCAGCACCCACCGTGCGCATTTCTTATAAACCGAAAACGAAACCAAAAAAAAACCCACGGCTCTGCCTGAGCCGCGTGACCAGCGCGTAAACAAGAGTCTTTAAAAACAGCCTTTCACGCGACCGCTGCAGACGTCGCGTGGGATTCCGTGGCGTCGGCCTTGTTGCTCGGTGAGTAACCCTCGCACTTGTTTGTTCCCTGCTCCTCCCCAAATCTTAAAGCTGCCTTGCAGTTTTCTTTTGAAAAATGCATGAAGTATAAATTACTCTTTTTGAAAAATCGGGAGTCGAGAAGGTGCAGGACCGTTGTTTCGTTCCTCCGCTTGTTTTCCTTTTCCGCATCTGCACAAGGATTATTTTGGGTCGCTTCGGCAGCGCCTCTTCCCATGCCATCGCCCCCCCCTTCCCCGCCCCGTTTGCAAAAAAACTTTTCTTGGCAACTCTGGAGAGAAGGGCAGGTTTTTATTTTTTATTTTTTTTGCTGGCTCCCTCCTTCTCTCCTCTCTCCAGTGCGGGAGGAGTCGGGTTCTAAGTACGACTTGAACTTTTAAAACAACAACATCAACACAAGCCTGTCGATCGTTCACTCCCCGGAATATTTTCACACCGACGCGCCCTTCTTAGCCAGAGACTGCGCCAGGGTCGTGAAAACGAAGACAGACGCGTGTCTCCAGGGAACGGAAAACCTCTTTTGCGGCACAAATTATTACGCGTGTATCAAGGTTTAAAAGCCTGAGGGGGGGGGCGGGGAGAGAAAGGATTGCTATTTTAATGGACTCCGGGAAAACTCCGGCTCCAAATTTGGAGGTCCTGTTTTTCGGGCAATCGGGAGTCAAGCTCGGAGGAGCGTTTCTCGCAAACTTAAGAACTGCACTTTTGATTTCTTCCGTGTGCCCTGCTCAACCGACTGGCTAGTTTTCCCACACAGATGGGGACTGTGTGGGAAATGGGTTTTGGGGGCCCCTTGCCCAGCTCTCATCGCCCCGTTCCTTATTTTTTTTCTTTACATGCCCTTATAAGGCTGTGTAGATTCTTGTCATCCAGGTGAGGTCATCTGGACGTAGAGTCCGTGACAGTTTTCCTTTCTGCTTGAGGCAAAGGTGAGCCTGCAGTTTTTGCTTTGAGGACTTCAGTGAGTAAGAAAGAAGATCAAAACAAAAACCAGTCTAAGGTGTGTGAGGAGATTCTGTGTGTTTCTTTCTTGCTCCCTTCTGCATCCGGCCTCTCTGGGCTCTTTCTTGCCCAAGCTTCCCTCCTACCCCCTCCCTCCCTCCCTCTCCAGGTCTTGCCCAAGGTGTAGTCTTGCTGAGGTGTCTGCTGTTCACAAATGTGACCTCACAAGCCAGCCACTGCCGCCCCCACACACACATACACACACTTCATCCAACCCCCTTTCTACCTTCTACTTTCTCCCCACCCCATTGTTTTCCTTCCTCATTATCATCTTTTGCCTCTTCCTAGCCCAAGGACAGGCAAACATGTTTTTCAACCTAACAAGAAAGAAGTCCCACATGTTTTTCAACCTAACAAGAAGTCCAGTTGCCATCATTTAACTTCCAGGTAACCACACCTGAGTGGCTGAGAATCTTCACAGATAACTATCTGCTGCCATTTCTATTTTCAGAGTTAGTTCTTTTGAGGTCCATGTGCAACATGTAGGACAACACGTTCCCCATTCCTTTCTAACAACAAACTGCCACTTAAGCAGTTTTTTGCCCCCACCCACCCACATCTGCCCTGGCTCTTTTCCTCCTTCCTGTTTATCCTCTTGTGTTTTTGTTTCTGTTTATTTTCCACCCTGATGATGCCTTTTGACATTACAAAGTTAATGTTAAACTACAAATGCTACTTCCAGATTTTAACTGCCCCGTGGCTGAAATCCTTTTGCTCAAGATAGCAAGTCACAACTAAAGTAGACCAATTGAAACAGTGGGGATTTGTGGAGTTGACTGTTCTGTGCCTTTGTGGGCCTGCTGTTCAATAAAGCTGTGCTAAGCAACAGAATTTCAGCCAGAGTTGTGTCTGCGTTGTCTCCAGAGTTCCATAACAACTAGGCATCTGTCTTCCTGTGATATTGTTGTGGCTTTTGAACTAAAGGGTCCTTATAGATAGAACATTCCTTTCTTTTATGTTTCTTAAGGCAGTGAGTCTGGGTTTGCTTACTGTGAAATTGCTGCAATTGAGATATGTTAAGCAGTGGTCATAGGAGTAGGAAAAAATAATGCTTTCCCTCTCAAGTATAACTGCTAAGCATTACCTAAAAATTATGTACACACACTTATTTGAAAGCAAGACACATTTAATATGATACTTTTGAGCAGATATACATAGGGTAGTGCTGTTATTAGCTTCTACTCACTAGTTCTAAATGTGGAGTCATTAATATTTATCAAAATGCCACATCACAAAAAGTGAAGCACCCTCTTCTATATGCATTAGTATGGTACATGACTGAAATGTGTACACTTGAGTGGTTTGTTGTATTTTTACTGTTTTTAAAACAGCTGATTTAAAACATGGTTACTGTGGAATTAAATCTATCTCTATAGCATGTGTTGGTAGTGTAAATCACATGCACCCAATGTTTTCATTAGAGCTTGTCTTATAAAAACCAGTTTGTTTAGCTTTAATAGTTGATTAACAGCAAAGAAAACTCTTGGTTTAAATGGGTTGTTTGTTCCTTCACTTTTGTTATGGAATTGAAAAGAAAAGTGAAGGGACACAGTGTTGCTGCGTCAACCACTAACCAAAAGAGAAACCTCTGTTTCTGTATACTACTTGATGTGTATTGCACAAATAAGGAAGCAATTCAGTTTCTAGGAGTTGAAAGTGCAAGTACCAAGCTGGTTAATAGTATGATGCAGTATTTGGAAGGGCTGCTCTCATTGCATAGGCTGGAGAGTTAATGAAAATGCAGTGTGTTAACTGCCTCCTGTGCATTGAGGTAGTAGCATTAACATCTGGGAGCTAACTGGGCATTAAGGAATACCTTGATGGATATCCTGTATTTATTTTAAAAACCTAGCAGTTTGAAGTTATTATTAGGAAAAGCATTTTTCCTGGATAGTCTGAGGTGGATAAGATTGGATGCATTTTTCCCTAAAAGCATCGGAGTATGCTTACAGACAGACACACATGCAGGCATCTGGAGCCTTGCTGGTTCAGACCAAGGATTCATTCAGTTTATTTAGCCCATACAAGGTGGACATGAAAGCAGTGGGAGGCACCCTTGTCTATTTGGGTTCAACTCATCTTTTTTCCCTAAGAGCAAAGGAATTTTTAAAAATTCAGAACATGGCCAAACAGCCCAAAAAAAGTACTGTACTACAACCATCAGATCCTGGCATTGAAAGCCTTTGAAAATACATTGAATTTTTAAAAGCCTTATGACTACCGGGGGAGGTGGGAGAGATGCCTGTGAGGGACAATCCAAATGTCACGCCTGTCCATCATGTTAGAACCCTGATATGGGAGCCAATGAACCAAGAAAGAGGGCGGAACCAAGAAAGAGAAGAAGAAGAAAGGACAGTTGGAATCAGTTAGAGTGGACAGTTATGAAAAGTTAGTCAGTTGGAGAGAAGGAGGAGTGAGGTTGCTGAGAGAGATATTCGGTCAGAGATAGAGAGAGAATTATTACTTATAAAGCCCTAAACGGTTTGGGACCTCAATATTTGATTTGGCGTCTTCTTCCACCTAGATCTACCCGAATCACCCGATATAGCCAGCAGGGACGGCTGAGGGGTCTGATGCTGAGGGAGGCCTGGAAGGAAAAAAGAAGAAACCGGG